TGAGTGGTGGGATAGCGGCGGTTGTGAGCGACTTCCAAGACGGGAACACAATAAGTCGACAAAAGGCGAGTGGGTGCGTCACGGGTCAAGTAGGGAGACGGGAATGAAGTACGGTGACAAGGTAGAGATGGTAATAAAAAGGAAAAGAAAAAAAGGGGGGGAAGAAAGGAAAAAAAAGAAAAAAAGGGCCAGCGGCTGGTGTGTCGGAGTATTTGTGTGTGCGGAAGATGAAGTAAGTTGGAGGATGGGTGTGTTCAGCGAGAGAAAGAGAGAAGAGAGAGAGAGAGGGAGGGACCCCCCCCCCCCAACCCCCAGTAATGTATAATGTACCGGGTCTAGCAGGCAGGAGCAAGGGCCTGGCCGCACCTACCGAGTGGCTAGCTCTTGATTTCCAGCTCTTAGGTAGGAGCACTATATGTATAGTGGTAACCGTAATTCAGCATTAGCCACTCTGTAGAATCTGGCAGCAGTACATGTAGCAGGTAGTAATTATTACGGTACTACGTAATACATGCAATACGTGTACTACTAGCTAGTTAAACTGTGAGAAAATTAGGCTGTGTAAGTTCAAGACTTGGGGAGAAATTGTGTGCAGCTGTTGGTGACTGCTGTAACGTACATGTATTGATGTCGTGTAGTATCGTATGAGTAGTAACGGCTGCCAAGTAATACTCTATATTAGAGTGTAGAGTGTAGGAGAGTATGCTCGTATAGTCTGTATAGACAGTTGTTTGGTAACACAGCCTCCAGGCGCGTACCTGGGCGAGAGGGCTATTAGTCACCATATGAATTACTACGAGGGCTGCATGCTCAACCTTTGAAGGTGTGCGGTAGGTAGTACAGTAAAATACAGGTCCTCCCCCCCTCCCCCACCAAGAAAAAAAAAAGAAACCTAAGCGGAGCGGACTTGTACATATATGATAGTCTATAGTCTACATTAGAATATAGAAAAGGAAAAGGTCAAAATTATTATAGTACGAGTAATATTAAAACTCCGTAGTCATGTGCGAATGATGTCTTGATTGAGGTAAGGCGCGACCGGTCCCACCTGCTATCCCATTTGGCCTTTTACATATATATAATCTGTACTTTTTTTTTCTATTCTTTTTTTTCTTAATCATCATCGTCAAGATATATAAGCAGGCAGGTCCGGAGCCGTACCAATATAGTATCAGAGTACATCTACAATTGATGCAGCTACTACGAGCAACCCGCCAGCTGCAGTTGGTATTAGTCCCTACAATGTAACATTGGCACACACGTACTCGTATGCGTGCAAATCCCCTGATATTATCATCACTCCGTACTCCGTACCAGGAGTATTGTTACTAGTAAAAATCGAGAGTATCACTCGACTTACAAGTCCCGTACGGAATACCGAGCACTCGTACTCGTAAAACAGAGGTACGTATACTCTAGCTAAGAAGGGGCCCGTCTTTGTATCTGTACCTAGTACGACTATGCGATGCCGCCAATGGCTTCACATCTTCTCATCTTCGGGGTCGGTTGAATGACATATATCCCTGTATCTTCTCCTGCACAGCCACAAGGACATGATACCCGCAGCGAGTACGAATACGCCAGGGTCTCAGGCACCACGAGGCTCGCCGCCGCACGCACGCGCCGTGAGGTATTGGCAACTTGTTCCGTACACTTGCTACATGTATCGATAGTACACGCACCGAAGATTACGAGTTCCGGACCGTAAGAGTCTTATTCTCACCCTTCTTCCTCTGCCCCGCGTGTCCGTCTCTGGTTGCTGTAGCTTATTTCTAAATGTATTGTACGCCATGCATTGCATGTACAATCTAGAGCAGATCCATCTCCGTACTCTATCCTGCCGCTGTTTCGATATAGCAATACGTACTGCCGTACAGATACGTGGTATTAGTATATGGAATACAAAGTACGTATAGCAGTGCGGCTTGTTGACGAGCACGCCCAGCACTAGAATTATAGTAGCACTCACACACGTCTCGTACCGTATCATCTTCCTTACACATATCGTTATACGTTAGAGAGCCCCTCCCCGACAGGTTTCAGCATCGACGTCGGCGCTTTCCGTGCCTGGCGCACAGGATGGGCCACTCTCGAAGCATGTTTCTGAGAGGCACATGCTGGCAAGACAGAGACGGTCAATGACATATATTATCGATAGGAAAGGTGACGACAGCGCGCAGGCCACTAGTGCCGTATGTCTGTCTGTTTTACTCTTCTCTCTCTCTCTCTCTCTCTGTCTCTGTCTCTCTTTTCCTTTTCTTTTCTTTTCTTTTCTTTTCTTTTCTTTCCCTCCTCTGCCCACCATCACTGCTAGGGTCTGTTCCGATACTGCATGTACACTCGGACTGATAGACTTCCCGACATTGCTGAGCATCTCCAACTTCTATTACTCGTGTAGATCGACAGCTGCTTAGCCAATTCTAAACTGTTCTTCATCATTAAAGATGAGAACGGCATGGAAGAAGAGAGAAGGGAAGCCTTCGAATAGATCCTCGCCATCTACAATGTATGCATGCACCCCCTTCCTTAGCCTGGCAACGTACGTGTAGATGGTACGAGTGACGACGCTGCATACACCTTTTGGCAGGAGAAGGAAGAAGAGTGCAGAGTGCTGCGGAGCAGACTGTAGCAGCCCTGAGACAGCCCCGACTCGGACAATACGCGCGATCCCGTGTGCGGCGCTGGTTTGCGGTGTGGACTTTCCTCTTGCCTACGAGTAATCCGTACTCGTACAAGTACTCCGTACGTAAGTCCGTCATGGATGGCCGTGGCCCTTGGAAAGTCCGGGAAAGGCCGAATGCAGCCAGATGCGCCCACTTTCCTGTCGGTATCTTTTCAGGCCCCGCCTTCGCCTCCACCCCGTAGGGTACATATCAGCCACGACCCAACCCTACGAAGAATAGCTTCCCTAGGGGCTACCGTAGCAATACAACTTTTATTACTAAGTAGTTTTATAGGTAGTTGTAGTAGCTGTACCGGCATGGGTAGTAGTAGTCGTAGCTGTTCTTGCTGTTGTACGATAGTTGTGGTAGCTGTAGTAGGTTGTAGTGAGTCGTATCATTACATATTACATAGTAGATGTTACATAGTAATAGCAGTCGTAGCAGTAGTTAGTAATAATATTCCGTTGGCCAAACTCCGCTCCGAAACCCGCCGATGGTGTCCTTTTCCTTTTTTTTTATAAAATAAAAAAAAAGACCCCCGACGATCTCTCTATTCCCGTCTTCTTGTACTGTACCGATCATTTTATATTACCCTTCTCAATCTCTTCCTTCCTTCCTTGATCGCTACCTACTTTTATTCCCATGACGCCATCTATAGGAACTACTGGTGGTTTCCAAAAGTCTCGACAACAAATATGCAGTGGATCGGCCTCCGTCCCAGTCCGAGTCCGAATGTGCACTCATCTACGTCGCCGCTTAGTAAAATTAGAATCGTACCAGGTTCCGCCTATACGCGTACATATATACTCAGAAGGAAACCAGACCGTTTCATCGACCTCGGGTCCGTGGTCCATCGTCATCTGTTACATTTCTGCGAGTAATGACGGTACTCCTAGCATGAATACCTGGAGCTGTACCGGTACTTCTGAAAGGGGATCGAGCACGTCCAGGGGGCCTCGGCGCCTTTGTCGTCTCCATCAGCATTAGCCCTTGGGCCACCTTCATCGAGAGTATTGCAGAGTGCATGTACCTGTACTTGCACGTCCTCTGCTACTTTTCCGCGCTAGTCCATGTTCCCATAGTAAATGTGGCGCTGACGTACGATATCCTGGGAGGATCAGAACTTGGGGGGCCATACATGTACGAGTATGCCGACTAGTACTGGTGTACTCGTACTCGCTACAAAGGATCCAAAAGGTCCCCATGTGAAGATGAACGTATACGCGTATTCACTCGTGTCCTTGTCTTGTGATGGTCGCGGGTTACGCCAGCCTGAGGACTTGCTCCTTCTACTCATCACCTACATGTAATACAGACTATGGGACAATGCTCGTACATACGTGATGCGCCATGATTCCTGATTCGTTTCTTCCCGGGCCGTGTCCAGTTCCCGGTGGACTCGGGCCATCACCATCATCCGCAAATACGTGTATTCGTTTGCGTACTCACGGTATTATTCATCCATCCAGTGGCCCGTACGCGTGATTGTTCTCCCTTTTTGCCCCCCGCCCCCTTGTCTTTTCTCTCACTCCTCCTTTACTCTGCTTCGCTGTTCTTTCGTCTTCTTCGAAAAAGGGGGGCAGCGGACCCGAGATCTGTTTCTGCTACGGCATGAGCATTATTGTTTACTCCCTCGACGGGAGAAGTCGACAGGCCTTCCCTAGAGCTAAAGGATACCCGTGCATGCTAATGCTTAGTCGCATACAGGTAATATCAACCGCATGAATTCTACACTTGGTAGTACACTTATACCATACGCGGCTCGTAGTTCTCGTGCATGTGACTCATTCATCAACATCGTCGTCGCACATCCGCATTCACCCCTAGACTCGGGTCAGGGGTCTGGACAGTTGATCGAACCCGGTGCCATGGTTTCGTTAAGTACAGATTACACAAGTTACAACGAGCCTGTTCAAGTCGCTAATGCATTTGGCTTCTCCCTCCCCTGGGACAATCGGTTCATGCTCTCTCCCCTGTTATGACTCGATATCACGTGATACACAATGTGCCTCCACTAGGGGTGACCTAGGAAGAGTCAGTCAAACCAATAACAGCTAAGGACGATATAAAAAAAAAAAGCCATTAGCGAAAAGTAAAGTAGCAGACCAATACCTCAAAAAAAAAATTCTAGGATAACACACAGAATGAAGACGAGGGTAAAGAATATATCAATATATACAGGTATATAGATCTATATACAGGTATACTATGAATCATCATGACGCAGCTGGTGCACCCTGACAGCATCGACTGTTTCTTCCTCTCTGATTTCTGTGCGCAATCTAATCAGGAACACCGGATTCGACCAATGAGAATGTATGCATTTCGGATCCAGCCCCACGGTTCAGACGCCAAAATTTTGGCCAGTTAGCCGACGTCGGAAGTACGCAATTGATGGGGGAAAAAAAAAAAAGACATCAACGGTTGAACGTCATTCTCCATATTCACACACAACTGCCTCGACGGATTTCTCAGAGGTGCCATGCACGGGCTCGGGTGAATCCTCTCACAAAGTTGAATCATGATACCAGCGGTAAGAGAGATGCAACTTCCAGTCCACCACCACCATCACCAACCCTTGGGTACCGTTCCACGTTGTGTGAGGGACCTCCTGGCTGACGACTGACTCGATATCTGCAGCGCAGAGTCGCCTCGCGACAGTGCCTCCGGGCCATGACGACGAGCACGACAAGGATCCTCCGGCCGTCCTCGTTATCGAACCGAGTAGCCCGATGCCAGGCTCAGCAGCAGACCACGCGCAGCTTCGGCACGTCGTACGCCCGGAGACGCGCCGATGTCTTCCACTCGCAGCTGGAGAGCGTGCCCAACTCGGCCGAGCTCCTTTCGTCGATGGAGTCTAGCAAGGCGGCAGCGGCTGCCTCCCAGTCGGGAACCCCACAGACGCTGACCGAGAAGATTGTCCAGCGGTACTCGATCGGCCTGGCCCCCGGGAAGAAGGTCAAGGCCGGCGACTACGTGACGCTGTCTCCCCACCACTGCATGACGCACGACAACTCGTGGCCTGTGGCCACCAAGTTCATGTCCATCGGCGCGTCAAAGATCCACAATAACCGCCAGGTAGTCATGACGCTCGACCACGACGTCCAGAACAAGTCGGAGAACAACCTCAAGAAGTACCGCCTCATTGAGGAGTTTGCCGGCGCTCACGGCGTCGACTTCTACCCGGCCGGCCGCGGCATCGGCCACCAGATCATGATTGAGGAGGGATACGCTTGGCCGGGAACCGTGACCGTCGCCTCGGACTCCCACAGCAACATGTACGGCGGTGTCGGCTGCCTGGGAACCCCCATGGTCCGCACCGACGCCGCCAGCATCTGGGCCACCGGCCGCACCTGGTGGCAGATCCCCCCGATCGCCAAGATCACCCTCACGGGTATCATGCCTCCCGGTGTCACCGGCAAGGACGTCATCGTCGCCCTGTGCGGCCTCTTCAACAAGGACGACGTCCTCAACCATGCTCTCGAGTTCACCGGTCCCGAAGAGACGATGCGCAGCATCTCAGTCGACTCTCGCCTCACCATCGCCAACATGACTACCGAGTGGGGTGCTCTCAGCGGTGTAAGTACCCAACCCTCTGATTTCCGTCTCTATTCTTCCCTAACTCTCCTTTCCTCTTCTCTGCTCTACATCTTTTCTCTACGTGGATCGGGGCGCGCAAAAGCATGGCTAACCTCTCCAACCTTTAGCTCTTCCCCATTGATGACGTCCTCATCTCGTGGCTGCGTGCCAAGGCCACCACGTCCGCCATGTTGAACCCCGAGCAGGCCGAGCAGGGCCGTTTTAACCACTCGAGGCTCAACGAACTGCTGGAGAACCAGCTGACGGCCGACCGGGGCGCCACGTACGCCAAGGAGCTGTATCTCAACCTGTCGACGCTTGCGCCCTTTGTTGCCGGCCCCAACTCGGTCAAGGTGGCCACGCCTCTCAACAAGCTCGAGGCCGAGAACATCCCCCTGAACAAGGCCTACCTCGTCTCGTGCACCAACTCGCGCTCCTCCGATATTGCCGCCGCCGCCCGCGTCTTCCGCGAAGCCGCTGCCGAGCACGGCGAGGAGGCTGCCAAGATTGCCCCGGGCGTGCAGTTCTACATTGCCGCCGCGTCGATCCCCGAGCAGCAAGCTGCCGAGGAGGCGGGCGACTGGCAGATTCTTGTCAACGCGGGTGCCAGCGTGCTCCCTGCGGGTTGTGGCCCCTGCATCGGCCTCGGAACCGGTCTCCTGGAGCCCGGGGAGGTGGGGATCAGCGCCAGCAACCGCAACTTCAAGGGCCGCATGGGCTCAACCGACGCCAAGGCTTACCTCGCCAGTCCCGAGGTCGTGGCCGCCAGCGCTCTCAAGGGCAAGATTGCCGGCCCGGGATGGTACCAGAAGCCCGAAGGCGTGGAGAAGGTCATCATCGGCGAGGGCAGCGGCGATCACGAGGCCGACAAGGCCGCCAGCATTGAGGGAGCGCTGGAGAAGCTCATTGCCGATGCCGAGAGCATGATTTCGTTTGCGGAGAAGGACTTGGGCGGCGAAGAGTCTGCCGCTGCTTCCACCCCCGCTGCTGCCGAGGAGGAGGCGGACGAGAGTCTCACCGAGATCCTGCCCGGCTTCCCCGAAAAGGTCGAGGGCGAGATCATATTCTGCGACGCGGACAACATCAACACGGACGGCATCTACCCGGGCAAGTACACGTACCAGGACAACGTCTCGGTGGAGAAGATGGCCGAGGTGTGCATGGAGAACTACGACACGGGCTTCCGCGACATCGCCAAGGCAGGCGACATCCTAGTCACCGGCTTCAACTTTGGCTGCGGGTCATCGCGCGAGCAGGCCGCCACGGCGCTGCTGGCCAAGAAGATCCCCCTGGTCGTGTCCGGCTCGTTCGGCAACATCTTCAGCCGCAACAGCATCAACAACGCCCTCATGGGCGTAGAGGTGCCCAAGCTCGTCGAGAGGCTGCGCGAGACCTTCAAGGATGCCTCGGACAAGCAGGCCACCCGTCGCACCGGGTGGAAATTCCTCTGGGACGTGCGCAGGAGCAAGGTCGTCGTCACCGAGGCCTCGGGCGAGTCGTGGAGCCAAAAGGTTGGCGAGCTGCCTCCTAATGTCCAGGAGATAATCGCTAGGGGTGGTCTTGAGAAGTGGGTGAAGGCTGAGATTGAGAAGTAGGCAACGAAAAGAGGAAGTAGGAAAAAATAAAAAGGGGGGGGTAATTGGCTTTGGGTGTTGGGTTTTGATTTATATTGTCTTATCTTGTTCTTTACTTTTAATGAAGATGAAGAAAAAAGAGGCTTGAACTATATTGTACAAGAGGGTGCTGGAAATGAACGTATATATCTATCAATATGTATGTTTTTATATTATATTATAAACATATATATAACATTCACATTGTACAAATTCGGATTCTGTTCCTACACGGTCTATTGCTGAAACATGGAACCTATTTCCACATCTTGTTCAGGCAATGTCGAGTCTTTCCCTACTTTAGATGTGTCTTGGCCACCACTAGCACCACCTGCACCACCAGTAAGAACACCAGCAGGAATCAAGGCCAACCTCTTCTTCTTCTTCGATCTCGCCCTGTGCATCCTCCCGCGCATATGCGAGGTCCACTGCTCCTCGGATGTGACGGATATACCGCAGATCTCGCACATGCGCTCACAGGGGGTCTTCTCTGGCCTGGGTAGTGTAGCGTGGCCGAGCACCTCGCGCGCCAGGTCGGACAAGTCGGTCGGGTGGGGACGTGTTTGGCCGCGCAGGAACTGGTCCGTCAGGCTGACGGCAGGTCGGACGGCCGTCTCGGCGAAGCGCGACACGTCGGTGCTGTCGAGGACGTAGAGCGAGTCCAGGGCCTGGGGACCCTGGTCCCGCAGACGGGGGATCTTCTTCTGCCGCGTCCAGCGGGTCTGGTACATGGCGTAGCGGCGCGTGGCCGTCTTCATGTCGTCGACGCAGCGGGTGCGCAGGTCGGCCAGCTCGGCGTCATCGGCATGCCCCCGGTCCAGGGCTGCTACGTACGGCTCTAGCTGCTTGTAGCCTATGGATTGCCAGATACCACGGGTCGTGTCGACGGGCTGGCCGTTCGTGGCCGACTCCTGCGCGCGTCGCAGATCGATGAGCTGGCGCACCTCGTCCAGCAGTCCCGAGTCGAGCATCTTATCCACGCGCACGTCCAGACGGTCCTTGAGCACGTCGCGCTCCGAGTATACCCACAGCAGGAGGTTATCCCACGGGGACTCGGCAGTAGAGCCAGAGCCGGCGGAGGCGGCGGATGCGGTCTCCCTTTCTGCTTTTTGTTCGGCGTAGATGTCTGACGCGCGCCGCCCAGTGCGTAGGTATATCTCCAGGGAGCGTCTGATCTTGCGCCGGTCGTTGGGGTGCCAGTGTAGCGCCATGGTCGGGTCGACCTTCTTCAGCTCAGCGTGCAGGACGGGCGTGGGCTCCTCGAGGATGGCCAGGGCCGAGGCGGCGGCCGTGTCGCCATCGTCGCCGTCGTCGCTGCCCACCGGGTCGTGCTGCGGGAGCACCGTGTCCCGGAATAGCAGGGCGTCGACGTAGTACGCCGTCCCGCCGACCAAGATGGGCAGATTGCCCCTGGAGCGGACGCCGCGGATGACGGCCGTCGCTTCGCGGCGGAAGTCATCAATGTCCCACGGCTCCGAGTCGGGCGCTATGTGGCCTAGCAGGTGGTGCGTTATGCCTTGCTGCTCCGACTCGCTCACCTTGTTGGTCATTATGGGGAGTCCCGCGTACATCTGCATGGCGTCGGCGTTAATGACTTCGCCACGGAATCGCTTTGCGAGCTCTATGGCTAACTATTCGCCCTGTTAGCCTTGTTTTTGTTGCTTTTTTGGTATCTTTTCTGTCATTTTTACCATCTTTCTTCTTCTTTCTTTTTTTTTTCAAGTAATATCGGGGGAGAACTGCGGGTCATACCTCAGACTTGCCGGTGCCCGTCGAGCCGAGAATCACCAAGAGCGGTTCCGTCGGTAGTCTGGTGGAAGTCGCCATTGTTGCAACATTGCGACGGAGGACTGGACTGGAACACAGGCGGCGGAGCATGTACGTCTGGAAAGTTCCGAAGAGTGATATCGTAAAGGCCGACTCGGGGCACACTTCAGCGCAGTGTCGTGGACATTTGGCAAAATGCTCCGTCCGACGAATGTTGGTGAGCTCGTCGGGAGAGTTCGTGATGATTGATTGTATGGGAAAAACTCAGTGTCACAATGACGGCCCGGTACCAAATACCCTAAAGATGCACGGGGGCTTGGTGAGAGTCACGTGTACTGTGTACCTTGCTGGTCCCTAGGGGTCAATTGAAGCTCCCCTGTTCCCCACATTGAGCCCTGACAGGTAGATACTACAGGGCTTACACCACTAATACACCACTATGGAACCTTCCAGGTCCCCTGAACACTCCCGAAAGACAAGCTCGCAGTGGTCACGTGGGCCACTCCACCACATTTTGGACACATCTTCCAATTTGGGGCTGCTCCTCCCCCGTGCGCCGTTGAAGCCAGATCGCCAACCCTGGGGCTGAAGTCAGCTTCTTTTGCTCTCCTCCTCTCCTTTAAACTTCACCCGACTCCCTCTCCCTCCTCTCTCCCCCCCCCCTCCATCACCAACATTGTCCTCCGAGCGCATCAAGGCTCGGTCCTTGTTCATTTCGTCCTTTCCTTTTTTTTGTTTGGACTGGATGAAGTAATTGGACTTCGGTTCTACCTTGTCTCTTGGTTTTGCCCCCATCAACCGTCATCATGAGTTCCCGTAAGTGGTCCATCTCTCACTCTTTCTTCTGTCCTCTGGATATGGCTTCCCCATCTTTCATCTGTGGGAGGAAGAAACAGCTCTTCATTTGAAGACACGAAGGAGCGCGACGCTGACGTTCAATGCTTCTCCAACAACAGTCCGTTTCCTTGACTTGGTCAAGCCGTTTGTGCCGTTCCTCCCCGAGGTTCAGCAGCCTGAGACCAGGATCAACTTCCAGCAGAAGCTGATGTGGACAGCCTTGACGCTCCTCATCTTCCTGGTCATGAGCCAGATGCCCCTGTACGGCATCGTGTCGTCGGACAACTCGGATCCTCTATACTGGCTTCGAATGGTGATTGCGAGCAACAGGGGTACGCTGATGGAGCTGGGCATTACGCCCATCATCTCGTCGGGCATGGTCTTCCAGCTCTTGGCTGGCACGCACATGATTGACGTCAACCTCGACCTCAAGTCGGACCGCGAGCTGTACCAGACGGCCCAGAAGCTATTTGCATTCATCCTGTCGGCCGGAACCGCCACCGTCTACGTCTTCACCGGTCTCTACGGTCCCCCTTCTGACCTGGGCGCCGGCATCGTCTTCCTCCTAATCCTGCAGCTTGTCGTGGCCGGCATGATTGTCATCCTGCTCGACGAGCTCCTCCAGAAGGGCTACGGACTGGGCAGCGGTATTTCCCTGTTCATCGCCACCAACATCTGCGAGTCGATTGTCTGGAAGGCCTTTTCACCCACCACCATCAACACCGGCCGCGGTCCCGAGTTTGAGGGTGCCGTCATCGCCCTCTTCCACCTCCTCTTCACGTGGCCTAACAAGCAGCGCGCTCTCCAGGAGGCCTTCTACAGGCAGAACCTGCCCAACATCACGAACCTGCTCGCCACCGTGCTCGTCTTCGCCGCCGTCATCTACCTGCAGGGCTTCCGCGTCGAGATCCCGGTCAAGTCGTCGCGTCAGCGTGGCGCCCGCGGCTCGTACCCGGTCCGCCTCTTCTACACGTCCAACATGCCCATCATGCTGCAGTCGGCCCTGTCGTCCAACGTCTTCCTCATCTCGCAGATGATGTACTCGCGCTTCTCGGAAAACCTCCTCGTCCGCCTCATCGGTGTCTGGGAGGCCAAGGAGGGCTCGTCGCAGCTCCACGCCATCTCGGGTCTCGTCTACTACATGTCACCCCCGCTCAACTTCAAGGAGGCCCTCCTGGACCCCATCCACACGGCCGCCTACATTGTCTACATGCTGGGTGCCTGCGCCCTCTTCTCCAAGACCTGGATCGAGGTCTCTGGCTCCTCCCCCCGCGACGTGGCCAAGCAGCTCAAGGACCAGGGTCTCGTCATGGCCGGCCACCGCGAGCAGAGCATGTACAAGGAGCTCAAGCGCGTCATCCCCACTGCCGCCGCCTTTGGCGGTGCCTGCATCGGTGCTCTCTCTGTCGCCAGTGACTTGATGGGTGCTCTCGGCTCTGGAACCGGTACTCTCCTTGCTGTCACGTGAGTTTTCTCTCCCTCTCTCTCTCTCTCATGCACACCTTTCGTCCTATCCATCTTGATCAGTCAAGGCTAACATGTCTCCCAGCATCATCTACGGCTACTTTGAGATTGCCGCCAAAGAGGGTGACATGGGCGGTATGAAGGGTATGATTATGGGCTAATAAGTCCATCTGCTTGAGTAAAGGAGGAAGAAAGCATGGTGTTGTGGTGCAAGACTTTTTCTGTCTCTCTCGCCAAACAAAAGATGGTCTCTCGCCAAACAGAAGACGCCGACTCATTGCTACTAGCTCTGTTTTATAGTGTAGCCTTTGTCGAGACTACTTGTATAGCAAAAACAAATCTCGGGGTTTCTTTCTTTGCGTGTGTTTTCTTTTTTTTTTTCTATTTCTTCCTTGCATGGTAATACTAGGAGTCATGTCGAAAAGGTGGCGGGTAGAAGGTAAAAAGGGCGGAGAAGAGAAAATAAAGATGATGATATATTATGACTCCTTTTTCCGTAACTCAACGTCATGATCGGGGTAGGGCACTCACTGCACCGGTACGTGTGTGTAGAGTTGAGAATGTGATGGGAGATGGATTATATGTGTGATTGACGTCTGTTACAGGTAATGTGCTATCGATGATGTGGATGATGAGATGATGCAATTGCGTCAGATGAGTGTTACGGAGTAAATACGGAGCAATGAGTCAATACAGGTCAGGTTTTTACCGTTGGCAATGCTTGTACGGAGTATCACTCCGTAGTCTGTGTTGGAACCGTGAACGAGAGGGGCAAGGAAGGAAGAGAAAAGAAAGAGGAGACCGGTATGAAACGAGGAAGGATGCACGTACCAGATATGTGTACAATGGTGGAATAACGAGGTGCTGAGATATCTAGATATATGATGAGTACGATACTAATGCTAGTAGGAGAGGCTCGATACTGCTACTGCAGTACTCCGTATAACTCGTACGTATTACTAGTAGTAACAGTAGTAGTAATCATATTTATTATTCGAATGATCATATTGATTGTGAAGAGGAGAATAGACGAGATGGGTGGCACCCAAGATTGTATGACTAAGCAGTCAAAGGCTGCTGCCACACTCACATCTGTAAATGATAACCTCATGGATAGATTTCCTTTCCTGAATAACAAGCAAGCACCAAAGACACACGGTCATCGACCCATGACTTGCCAGTAGGCAGAGACCACTCGCTGTATTCACGTGTACGGGGGTCATGGTGTGTTGTCGCCAGCAGGAAGCACAGATGGAGCGACACAGGGTAGGCCATACGGACTTATACGTAACCTTTGACGATTTATCCGTACCACTCTGCGTCTGATGATTCCTGTCAGCAACATTGCTGATGATGGGGGGGCGGTACGGGGTGTGATTGAATGAATGTATTGCCGCATGCCACAAGGGTTTGGACAGGCGAGTTGCTAGGTCCTATTCTATGACGTGGATGCATGTGAAGGGGAAGAACTAGTTGGTGAATTAGTCAGTGGTGGGTAGATTTGCAGAGTTCGGGAGAAGAAGGAAGGGGAAAGGGTAGATCTGGTTCGATTCTAATCCATCAATTGCATGATACTCGTACGAGGACGGACTTGTTTCTCTCTCTCTCTTTTTATTTTAATTTAAAAAAAAACCTCTTCCCCCTTTCTCTCCCCTCTCTTTATATATATATATATATACTATGTATATTATTTTATCCTTTGTATTTTATTTATTTATCTACCGCGTATGCACTCCGTAGTCGTGTATTATATTCCGTGCAGATATATCTATGCAGATGCGGTTCAAAAAAAAAAAAAGAGGCGCGCGGAACGTTGTAGAAGGTGGGGGAGGCAGAGGCAGGCTAAGCAGACAAGGTGCGCTCGGTGTGACTCCAGTGCATATGTACTCGTTAGTCAATAGGATAGAGAGGATGACCAAGGGACTATGAGATGGACTACGTGGTTGGTTGGTTATACTACAGGATAAGCGAGGTTACGAGACTACAAGTATGGATTGCGACACCGGTCTGCCTCTAAAGAGCTCGTGTGGCTTTGCAGATTGGAGATGATGTACGGGCATGGGCTGGGACTGCGAATGATATTACTGCACGGAGGCTACTGATAATACGTCCCGTAGGTTTCGGCGGTGAGTCAACCGGGGTGCATAGTAACGGAGCGTTGCGATTCAACAGGGGGATCGGTGGCAGGCATTTCTGGAATACGACCTTGTCCAACCGCGCGTATGTATCCTACCATGTGATATTACTTGCTGTTCGAGATGTAATACTAGCGAGTCGTGGGAATGCGCAATGATTGATTTACGACGTGATTCTAGACAACTCCAGGAGAGGTCTGTCTACGAGCATGTCAAGGGGGAGGGGGAAATATGGGGTTGCTGTTGCTGCTGCTGCTGCTGCTGCTGCTGCTGCTGTTGTTGTTGTTGTTGTTGTTGTTGTTGTTGTTATTGTTTCTGTTGCTTGCTATTCTACGAGTAAGATGTGTCTTGGGTGGTATTCGGCTGGGGAGTCTGGGACGTTGTCGTAGATCTGTGTCATTAGAAACATGTATTCAAGGGAGTAGTTCTCGGGATGGATACGGTTGCACAAGCTGCTCCCTCCCTTGTGGAAGTGAAGAAGGAGAAGGGGAAGGGGGGAGGGGGGAGGGGGAAGAAGCACAAGATGGTTGTAGAGATAGAAGAAGAAGAAGGAGGAGAAGAACAGAGAACAAGAGGGTCGTTGCTTGTCTGCGTCTATTTGCCTCTGGCACTGACAGCTTCTGCACCATCCCGACAACTGCGGTCAACCTCCCCAGAAGAGGAGAGACTAGCTGCCATGTCGCAGCCGGCATAGCCTCTGTAATGATACTTTGGTGATCCGGTAAAACGGTACCTCCTCTCCCTACGGGTACGTGTACGAGTATACCCGATGAGCGGAGCCCATCTCCCAGCCAAGTGGTTACCAATGATTCAGAGAACCTGTCAGCGAGTTATGTAGCCTCATTATTGGGTGTCTTCTCTCTCTCTCCTCTCCTCTCCTCTCCTCCGAACGTGGAGGCAGGCGATGCCGTATACGAATACCTTGACTACCAAGCTGGAGGTGACACTACGGGGCACACAGGTACAGGTTACCGCTAGTGCTGCTGCTAGTGCTGCTGCTAGTGGCAGCAGGGGAACGGAGCACGGGCTCAGACGTAGTAGATGCAGACGTGACAGTCAGTGGCACCTCTCTGCTGCGATATAATAATACCTCGAATGATCTTCTTTTTATCTTATTCTATCACTTCATCATTCTCTTCCTACGGGAGATACGACCCTGTATCGAGATTCTGTGGGCCTCGATTGTTCGATGGCTGGAACTGAGATGCACAGTTGGTGGCGTTTGTATGCCGGTCTGTATCGACGGAAGTCATGGACACATACAGACTTATCAGACTCTCCTGTAGAGAACTGTAGAATAATGTCGTGCATAAGAAAAAAAGAGTTCGATGATACGAGAGTACATACATAATAACACTCTCCATACAGGTAATAATACACGCTAAGCACCGTTATTTCTCCTACATAATAATACTCCGTTCATGTATCAAGGCCAGACTCTCTAATCTGTACATCTGTAGCATCACTAGCTGCTGTTAGCGCCCCAGGGTGCGGCACTTGCACAGGGAGTATATTGCAGCGCTCGTATAGGACGATGGGTGGCCCCGAATACATTGCACAGGCATATGATCTGTACAGGCACGTAATAACCCACTGTAGCGCATTGGTCATGGTGCTCTGCCAGGTGGCAGGACCCCCACTCACTTACCGGCGTCCAGCAAGTCGCTGCTCGAGTAAATAATGGTGCAGCAAGGCGGTGGGTTACGGGACCCGTTCCGTGGGGACCGCCCTTTGTATAATCCCGGGGCATTCCTAGCATCGGCGCAGTATTCGACCTGAGTCGCAGTTGGTATTGATACGTCAGTAATAGCAATACAAGCCCACTGTACGATGTCTGTAGCTGGGCAGTAGTAGATAATGTTGCCAGTATACCGCCGTCTGTGTATCAGGCGTCTGTGTGTATCGGCGTCTATCTATCCACCGTCTATCTGTCTACGAAAGGGAAGGCGCATGCCAAAAGAGGCTCCTTCCAAAGGTTCCCCCTCCCAAGGTTTCCCTCCCAAGGTTCGTTCCCTCCCAACGCTCCTTCCTTTTAGCTTCTCCACCGGTCACTTACTCACTAGTTCGAGTCGTTAATAATTTGCTTCCCTTTTTATTTATTTTTATTTTTAAATTTTTGATTTGATTTGAATTTAGCTTTTCCTCTTTCCTCTTTTCTATTTCTTCCATTTGTCTCTTGTTTCCTTTTTTTTCTCATTCTATTCTCCCTCTCTTTTCCTATTTATTTCTTTGTCATTTATCATTCTTCCCCTTCGGTAGATCAAGCCGACTTTTACAGTGTATCACTACTAGTACCGACTATTACCTACTAATAGGATTTAGTCCAGCGATATTCTGTAAAGAGAGGAAGAGAGGAAGGACATCATCCTGTACAGTCTTTTCTTCCCCTCCCTCTTCTCCCTCTCTCTCTTTTTCTCTTCTATTTTTACCTTTTTTTCAATCCTTTTATTTTCTTCCTTCATATCTGGAAAAAAAAAACATCTTATGTTAAATTCTACGCTCTCCCGCTTCTCGACGACTTCCCCCTCTCATTTCGTTTGACCCCTCCACTTTATTCTACGCCGCTTACCACACCGGACCGTCACCGACCCTCGGCACCTGCATCCTCTTTGGCTCTTGGAGAAATCGCCCCTCCTCAGTCCCGGTCGAATCCTTGTCGTCTACTCTTGCCTCTATCTCCCTCCTTCCCTCCCTCCCTCCCTCTCCCTCTCCTTCTCTCTCTCTTCCCTTCCTCCCCTCCAGGCTCTCTCGACCATCCCGCCCACCGCTCAGTCGAACCCATTGACCAGGGAAAAAAGTCTTCAGCGCGCTCCCTGCCGAGCGTGTCTGTTGCCTAATAGGCCGACGAGGTGGCTTCCTCACTGAGAGATTGACAATTACCTCTTCCCTTCGACACCAATACTCGATAGCAACAGCACACCACCACCGCCACCACCGCACAGACACACACCCGTACACACACACCGCCTGTCATGGGCTTTGCCCAGTGTGAATGGCCGATATGGCAGATTGACGACTTCACCTCGTGTTTCCAATTAGAGTATGCTTTCTTTTTCCTTTCTCCTCCTGCTGCCTTTTAAACGGCAAGCCGACCTTTCTCTCTCTCTCTCTTCCTGTCTAACGATAACAACGACGGCTAGCTACCTCAAGGTTCTACTCCCTCTCATCGCCGTCGGCCTCTCCCTCGCCCATCTCACCACGAGCAGCCTCCACGCCATAATCGCCAACCGTGCCGCCAAGGGTTACACAAAGATCTCGGCCGACGATGACGACGACCAACAACATGATCACACCAGGATCCCCCCCGATGAACTCGCTGGCGTGGAAGAGGAGGAGCAGCTCGAGATCAATGCCGGTCGCCTCGCCCTCGCCAAGACCACCACCCGCGGCTCCGTCGTGCAGGCCGACACCCCTCCCGGCATTTACCTGTCCCAGATTGTCGAGGCCGTCACCGTCGCCGGCCTGATCGCCACCAATAGCTGCGCCCTCGCCTCCAAGCCGTACATCGCCACCCACGGCTACGCTGCCGCCGTCACCGGCATCCTCGTCTGGTCCTATGTCCTGGTCATCGTCACCCTCCGCCTGACCCTTGGCAGGGCCACCTGGCGTCTGCTGCACCTGTGGAACCACACCGCCACGCTCTACGGCCTCAACTTCCTCTTCGACGTCTTCATCCTCCGCTCCGTCATCATCCACCCCCCTTCCAAGTCCACCCAGGTCCTGTCCATTGTCGAGTTCGCCCTCGTCTCGCTGCTCTTCGGGCTGGCCGTCACCACTCGCAGGGGTAACAGCACCGTCCTGCTCGAATGGGAGGATGGCATTGAGCCCTCGCGCGAGCCCCTGGCCAGCCTCTTCTCCGTCGCCACCTTCAGCTGGGTCGACGCCATCATCTGGAAGGGCTGGAAGCAGCCCCTGGAGATTGAGGGCGTCTGGAACCTGCTCCCCAAGGACAAGGCCGCCGCCGTCCTGTCCGACTACCGCCAGCTCAAGAAGACGACGTCGCTCGCCCTGCACCTGCTCAAGTACTTCAAGGCCAGCCTCGTCGTCCAGTGCATCCTCGCCGCCGTCTCCGGCCTCTTCGCCTTCGCCCCGACCCTCCTGCTCAAGGCCATACTCGAGTACGTCGAGAAGCCCGAGCGCGCCCCCAAGAATGTCCTCTGGCTCTACGTCATCGGCCTCCCCGTCCTCGACCTCGTCCGCTCCTGGGGCGACAACACAGCCCTCTGGATCGGTCGCAGGATCTGCATCCGCGTCCGCGCCATCATCGTCGGCGAGATCTACGCCAAGGCCCTCCGTCGCAAGGCCGCCGGCGGCGGTGACAAGGTCCTTCTCGAGGCCAAGCCAACCGCCCAGGACAGCAAGTCCGATGACGAGAGTGCTGGCAGCAAGCTGAAGCGCGCCCTGGGTCTCGGCAAGAACAAGAAGAGCACCGACACTGACGGCAGCGACACCGAGTCCGCCACCGCCACCGCCACCACCGACTCGGCCGCCAAGCCTGCGTCTGATGCTGGCAGCGATGACCAGGCCAACCTGGGAACCATCATCAACCTCATGTCCGTCGACAGCTTCAAGGTGGCCGAGATCACGGCCTACCTCCACTTCCTGTGCGCCTCGGCCCCGGCCATGCTCGTCATCTCCGTCGTGCTCCTGTGGCAGGTCATGGGCTACAGCGCCATCCCCGGCATCGTCGTCATGGCCCTTCTCCTGCCCGTCAACTATCTCATCGGCAAGGGCTTCAACGAGACGTCCAAGAACATCATGGCCGCCACCGACAAGCGTATCAGCATCACCAACGAGGTCCTGCAGAACATCCGCATCATCAAGTACTTTGCCTGGGAAGAGCGCTTCGGCATGATGATTGACGAGAAGCGCCACGCTGAGCTCCGCTCCCTGCGCTCGCGCTTCCTCGTCTGGGCCGCCGCCGTCGCCACCTGGAACTTTGTCCCCGTCCTCATCACCTTCTTCTCCTTCCTCGTCTACACCGTCCTCGAGAAGAAGCCTCTCTACCCCTCGGTCGCCTTCACCGCCATGTCGCTCTTCATGCTCCTCCGCATCCCGCTCGACCAGTTTGGCGACATGTTCGCCCACGTCCAGGAGGCCAAGGTCTCCATCGACCGTGTCGAGGAGTTCCTCCAGGAGGAGGAGACGGAAAAGTACGCCCAGCTCGGAAGCGACAACGTTGACGAGAAGGGCGTACGCCGCATCGGTTTCCGCCACTCTACCCTCATCTGGGGCGCCCGTGATGCCGTTGCCGACGACGGCACCCAGGCCTTCCGCCTGCTCGACCTCGACATCGACTTCAAGATTGGCAAGCTCAACATCATTGCGGGACCCACCGGATCTGGAAAGACGTCGATGCTGCTCGGTCTGCTCGGTGAGATGACCATGGTCGCCGGCCGCGTCTTCTGCCCCGGTGGCCAGAGCCGCGAGGACGCGCGCGAGGACCCCGAGACTGGCCTCACCAACACCATCGCATACGTGGCCCAATCAGCCTGGTTGATCAATGCCAACATCAGGGACAACATCCTGTTCGCCGCCCCGTTCGACGAGCAGCGCTACAGGGACGTCATCGTGGCCTGCGCCCTGGAACGTGACCTGGAGATCCTCGACCACGGCGACCGGACCCTGGTCGGCGACAAGGGCATCACGCTGTCCGGCGGGCAGAAGCAGCGCATCTCGCTCGCCCGTGCTCTGTACTCCAACTCGGCCCACGTGCTCATGGACGACTGCCTGAGCGCCGTCGATTCGCACACGGCCCAGTGGATCTTCAGCAACTGCGTCAAGGGCCCGCTCATGAACAACCGCACGTGCATCCTCGTCACCCACAACCTGCAGCTCTGCGCCCCCTCGTCCGACTATATTGTCCTGCTCGAGAACGGCCGCGTCGACGCCCAAGGCCCGTCCAAAGAGGTTATCGCGTCCGGCAAGCTCGGCGAGGAGATTCAGAGGGCCAAGCCCGCCTCCGCCGCTCCCTCGCGCGTCCCCTCGCGCGTGCCCTCGAGCGTAGGCGAGGAGGACATGGCCCACCAGAGGAACGACTGCGACGCCAACGGCAGCGGGAACGGCAGCGGAAACGGCAACGGCAACGGCAACGGCGCTCAGAAGAGTGACGCTCAGAAGAAGCAGCCTCCCCCCCAGCAGGACGCCATGGACGAGGGCAAGGTGACGGGTGCCGTCAAGTGGCCCGTCATGAAGATCTACCTGACGGCCATGGGCTCGTGGTGGTTCTGGGTCACGGCCATCATCATCTTCAACTCGCAGCAGCTCACCACGGTGGCCATCCAGGCCTGGGTCCGCGAGTGGGCCAACCAATACATCAAGGAGGAGCAGCAGCACACCCGGCAGATGGGCGGCAACAGCAGCCCTGCGTGGGCTCACGCCCTCCGCACGTCCATGTCGACCAAGTTTGGCAACGTCGATTTCACCATGACTTCCCCTGCCGACGACACTACCTCTGCCGCTTCCGTCACTGACGTCACTGTTACCGCGACGGACAGGGGCGGCTACAATGTCAACATTGCCTACTACCTGTTCATCCTCGGTCTGATCGGCCTGGCCAGCGCCGGCACTGCTCTCCTGCGAGACCTGTGGGTCTTCTTTGGATCGCTGACGGCGTCGCGCCGGCTCCACGACCGTCTGATACGGTCTGTCATGCGCGCCCGGTTCAAATTCTTTGACGTGACACCCCTGGGCCAGCTGATGAACCGCTTCAGCAAGGACATGGAGGCCATCGATCAAGACATCGCCCCCACGGCCATCAGCGTCATGACGTGCGCGCTATCGCTGGTGGTGACGGTGGTGCTCATCACGGTCATCACGCCCGGGTTCCTCATCGCGGCCGTCTTCATCGGCATACTGTTCTACCTCGTCGCCGCCTTCTACCTGCGCGCGTCGCGCGACCTGAAGCGCCTCGAGTCGGTGCACCGCAGCCCGCTGTTCCAGCAGTTTGGCGAGACGCTGAGCGGCATGACGACGATCCGCGCCTACGGCGAGGAGCGCCGCTTCATCCGCGACAATCTGATCAAGGTGAACACGCAGAGCCGGCCGTTCATCTACCTGTGGGCGTGCAACCGCTGGCTGGCGCTGCGGGCCGACATCCTGGGCGACTTGGTCGCCTTCTTCGCCGGCGTCTTCATCATCCTCAGCCTAGGCAAGATCGATGCCGGCGCGGCGGGCATCTCGCTGACGTACGCCATGAACTTCACCGAGAACCTCCTGTGGCTGGTGCGCTGCTACGCCATCAACGAGCAGAACATGAACTCGATGGAGCGCATCAAGGAGTACCTGGACGTGGAGCAGGAAGCTGACGAGGTGGTTGACGGCAACCGTCCGCCTCCCAACTGGCCGAGCAGGGGAGCGGTCGAGTTCGTCGACTACAGCACCCGCTACAGGGCGGACCTGGAGCCCGTCCTGCGCGGCGTGTCTCTCAAGATCAACCCGCGTGAGAAGGTGGGCATCGTGGGGCGAACGGGCGCGGGCAAGAGCTCCCTCACGCTGGCCATGTTCCGGGCTCTCGAGGCCGACTCTGGGCGCATCGTCATCGACGACGTGGACATCAGCACCATCGGCCTGCGCGACCTGCGCAGCAGCGTGACGATCGTGCCGCAGGACCCGACGCTGTTCCAGGGCACGATCCGCACCAACCTCGATCCGTTTGAGCAGTACACGGACGACGACGTCTTCGCGGCGCTCCGTCGCGTGCAGCTGATAGGGCCTGACGAGGTGGCGCCGACGACGCCGACGACGCCGCGGATACCTCCGTCGGTGAGCAGCAGCGGCATCGTTCCCGCTCTGGGCAACAAGAACATCTTCCTGGACCTGTCGTCGCCCGTGAGCGAGAGCGGGTCCAACCTCTCCCAGGGTCAGAGGCAGCTCCTCTGCCTGGCGCGCGCCATGCTCAAGAACCCCACCGTCCTGGTCATGGACGAGGCCACGGCCTCGATAGACTACGTCACCGACGCCAAGATCCAGGAGACGATCCGCGAGCTCACAGGCACCGTCGTCACCATCGCCCACCGTCTCCAGACCATCGTCGACTACGACAAGGTCCTGGTCCTGGACAAGGGTGAGGTCATGGAGTTTGCACACCCGTGGGAGCTCATCTCCAACGAAGATTCTCTCTTCAGGAGTATGTGTGAGACTAGTGGCGATCTAGATGCTCTCATTAAGGCAGCCAAAGGGAAATGGGATGAAGGAAGGTTGGTGGATGATGAGTAGTTTTCAGCCCCAAGTCTTTTTTTTTTCTCTCGTCTCATCCTCCATACCGTTCTCCCTCCCTCTTTTTCACCTTTTCATCATCATCATCATCTTCTTCTTCTTATCTGCATCCCCTTCCATTTGTCCTGCCTTTTTTTTTTGTCCTGAACAGAAATTCTTTTTGCATACATTCCCGTCTTGTATATCCCCCCATCCCCTTGCCTACGTCGCTGAAGAGATAATGACACTTTTTTTTTAAATCAAAAAAGAAACACCCCCTTGGAAATTTGAATCGGTGATATATCAAGTTCAAGTAATTAATGTCATACATTCATAACTTATTTTTTTTCCCCTTCATCACTGCCTACTCTTCTGTCTGCATGTCTGCGTACACCATAATCATCTACCCGTGTCCATAATCTCTACTTGTATGTCCTTGGTTACAACTCCTCATCTCTTTCAGATCACCTATTGCCCATGTTAAGAATTCTACTGGCCACGAATAACCCTGGCAAGATCCCCCACATAGTCATCGGCCCCTGCCCGACCCGATCCGATCGTCACTGTACAAGAATGTGAACTTGTACCTGGATTTCAGCCGTTGTGCCTGGAGTTGGACATCGTGCTGCGCGTCACGTTCGCAGAAAGTCATCACAATCATCCTGAGCAGCGTCAATGATGCCGTCCCCGCCTTCCTCGTACTCGGCATGCAGGGTCATCATCAAGTGATCCGCCCCACTGTATACGACTTCCACATCTAGAAAACCAAGGCGCAAGTGGCCCGTGAACTCGAGGTGGGGAAGGATGCCGCTATCGAGCAGCATTCGATACGCAGCCCTGTTAGCGAGTCGACCAGCTGGGATGTGGCACGCCCTATGAGTCCGAGATCGAAGGCCGGATGGATGGCTGTTTCCTCTTCCATGAAGTCGTATATCCACCAGAGCCTCAGCTTTTCGAGGCTGGGGAGGACCGAGAAGATGGGCATAAGGGTATCCTGACGTATCGTGGCGATCTCCATCGTCTCGAGGTCCCCTTCCTATTTCCCCCCTTCCAGGTTTCTGTTCCTTCTCTACCGTTATGTCTTCCCCGGCTAGCATCAACAGCTCATTGTGGATGTTGGTGTAGAGAGAGAGAGAGAGAGAGAGAGATAAGACTCGAGGAAGGAGTGACGAAGAAAATATTGAAAGCAAGAGACGACTGATGCGTGTTTCCTGTGTGTTGGATGTCATGTCTGAGGATATCGTACAGCTTCCTCTCTTCATCGATGAAACACATGATGATGACTCATTCATACTCATCGTGATGAATAAGAAGCCTGAACATCGTGTATACACATACGTATTATATATACGACGGTAAGGCTGATGATGTAATACGTTAGATGCATTGATGCATAACAATGAGTCCGTCCCGATATCTACATATTTCTGCCTGGGCCTGGAAGCGTTTTCTACCAAATCAGGAATAACGATGCAGGTCCAAGTCACTCCGACGACTCGCTGACTCTTTGCCTAGCGTTTCCCCTCATTCTCGTATCCTCTTCAGTCTTTGGTTTCGCAGTTCCGCCATCGTCTATCTTCACCTCTCTTCTTCCTTCCCTCTTCTCCTCGATCCTCACCGCCACCCCGACGAAGAAGACACACACAGAAGGCCATGGGCAAACCAGACGAGGACATGGCCAAGACCGGGCCAACCCATCTCCAAGAATCCGCATCGGCCATATCCCTGCAAACCCAGGAGCAAGATGGAAGCGGATCCTCGACGATGGCTCACCTCCCTCCTCCCCCCCCTGCACCGACGGACCGGTACTTTGACGACGACGCGGCCGACGTAGGCGGCGGCGACGACGACGACCTGCCCCCTTTATATTCTGACCTCGAACACGGCCTCGCAGCAGAGCAGACGGTGGTGGACCCTCTGCTCCCGGCAGGCGTGGGCCCCCTGGCCGTGGCGCCGTTCAGCCGAGACGAGACGACGGGCACGGAATACTACGTCGACCGTCGCCTGGACACGGACGCCATCTTCCTGGCGTCGCACGTGCGGCATCTGGCCATGCTGCCGCCGCGGCCGTTTGTCCACCTGCGCGGCACGCACACGGAGACGAAGCGCAAGTCGGACAGCAAGACGGAGCAGCAGCAGGTGATCGATTTTGACGTGCGGGTCGAGCTGACGGACCTCCTGTACGCCGACCTGTCCGCGCGCACCCCGCAGCGGCGCCAGGTGCTCGCCGCGGGGACCATGGAGAAGGTGCGTCGGGGCACCGTCTTCCCCACCCGCGCCCAGGGCTTCGGCGGCAAGGGGTACAGGGCCGAGGACCGCAGCCCCGAGTCCGACCTGCTGGACGACTGGTGCCGGCACTTCTGCTCGTCCAAGGCCGGGCTCAAGACCTTCTCGGTGGAGCGCCGCGTCGTCGGCTTCGACTTCGACGCCCTCCGCCCGAAGCTGGAGTCGCTCGTCCGCCGCACCAACTACCGCGGTTCCCTGACGGTCGACTTCCCCCTCCTCAACTCCCACGCTCACATCTACAATGACTGCCGCTCCAACCGCTGGCGCCTGACACGGTGGATCGTCGTCGTCTTCACCCTGACCCTGCTCAGCCTCCTCACCTGGCCCTGGCTCTTCTTCCGCACCGCCCGCTGGGAGGTCATCGGCATCGAGTGGCTGGTCGGCGACGGCGGTACCAGCCCCGGCAGGCGCTCCCAGGCCGAGGAACGCTGGTACAACCTCTGGGCTAGGCCTATCCAGCGTGCCGTCCTCTCCCGCAGGCAGGGCACCCTCAACCAGGCGGACCTGACGGACAGTCTGGACCCCCAGCCCGAGCAGCGCACCGGGATGGCTGGGGCTGTGCAGGCTGGCGTTGAGGCCATGGGCGTCGTCAATCGGTCTTTTGGCTGGGGAGGAAGTACTTGATGTGTTCCAGCATCCTGCCTGCTAACGTTTTTTTTTCTTTTTCTTTTTCCGCTCTCCATTGTTTCTCAAGTTGGTCTTGACTTGATCAGACTTTTTCGTTCTCTCGTGTACATGTTGGCGCCTGTCATTCTTACTCTTGATACCACACTCGTTTTACATATCTTGTATGGAGTATGCACACTTTCAGTCGAATTCAAACTGGCTTATGTCGTTGCTCTGTGTGTTGTGTCGTCTGTCTTGATATCTGACTCTCTTATATGTCTGCTTCAATATATCGTCCACCAAGTTATATATATATATATGCATCCACTCATTTCTTAGGCCAGACACGGCCATTGTGCAAGCAAGGTCATGATACACCAACATCTATTCTAGGGGAAAAGAAAAAGGAGATGAAAAGGTATGAAAATACCAACATCAGTCTGAAAATACAAATAAAATAAAAAATAAAATAAAATTCAAGTAACAACATGAGAGAGAAAACATCTCTTGTGATACTCTAGGTTAGTCATTCATCAAGACCCTGGGGGAAGGGAAAGCCCCACCACCGCCACCAACCGTCACCTCCATCTGAAAACGTCAACGTCATTCTCTCGTCCGTCATATAAACCCACCACATCCCCCACCCCAATCATTCATGGCCGACATACCGAACCCCCGTCGCATCCTGGCCGTCGGCCTCGACACGACGACCGACTACCTCACCCGTGTACTCCGTGACCTCACCGGCTCCGTCCCCGAGCAGACGTCCACGACCCTAGCCGGCACGACGCACGACCTGCCCCTCTCGACAGCATACTACACCACCACCGTACCGATATGGATAGACCTCATATCCTCGCCGAAGGAATGGGCAGAGTCTTTCCTGTCGTCCGAGGCCAAGGAGGTTCTATCTGTCCTGGGGGGATTGGTTGTCGTATTTCCACTTCCGGCGGCGTCTGGCCCTGACGGTCAAGAGGATCAAGAAGGAGAGGAAGAAGGAGATGATGATGGGCAGCAGCAGCAGCAGGAGAGGAAGAAGCAGGAGCGACCATCTCATGCACAGATAAAAGATCTGATCACGCACCTGGGAAAAATCATACGCGACGGGCTGGGTGGGTGGTCGTGGGACGGTGTCAGTCTGGCCGTCGGCGTGGGAGGCAGCTCTGATCTGGCCGAGCAGTGGGATGATCTGTGTGGTGAGGCGGGGTTGGAGTTTGTCCATGTCACGGGGGACAGCAGGGCGGGAGGGTGCAACGAGTTCGGGGGTACGTCTTATCTCTCTCTCTCTTCCATTCTACTCGAGGGACTTTATATCCTTTCCTGCTTCGGGAATTACTAGTATCTTTTCTGTCTCTGCTAGGCTGACATGTATGCTGAAAAAAAAAAAAGAGAAAACTGGCATCCCTCGCGTCAGAGAAGCTCTAGAAGCCAACGATTGGGTCCAGATTGACGACCTCGACGCCGCACTATCCGATGAATTCGGCGAGTTTGACCACAACGACAAGGACAAGGACGATGAGGACGAAGACGTGGACGCAGAGCTGGACCCGTCAAAGCTAGAGTTTGGATTCGACCGGTCTGATTTCGACGGTCTGCGGGAAGCTATATGGACATCTGGCGTTGCGCAAAAGGAGGACGACGACGTTCAAGGCGAAGAAGAGAAGACGGGCGGCCCGACGGATGGAGCGTCGACCGGCAGGGCAGAGCCCACGGACAAGCTCGACGACGACGACATAATCAAGGTAGAGAGCATGATGAGGAGGTTACAAGCCGTCAGGGAAGCAGGGGAGGGCATGAGCGAGGCTCAGAGACGTCGCATGGCCGCCAGGGCAGTGGGACAAGTTATGAAGGAGTTGTAGCATTACCCATTTTTTTTTTAATATCTCAGACGGTCTTGTGTGAGTCGGGCCAACTGTCAGACGTGTCAAACGTATCAAACGCGGCTCCCAAGGTGATGTAACCTGGAGGGTTCAAACATGGATGATCTTGGCTGGTACTATCGTGACAAGCTGTGGTCAACATGTCTATTTTGTTTGCTCATGCCTCTTGTGTGCGTATTTCTTGTGAGGGTATTCGTAGGTCGTATATATAAATATATTGTACTGATGAGTGTCAAGTGTCAAGTATCAGGTAATAATAGTATATATATCCATAATGCCTTGACAATTTTTTTTCCAATCAATTTTTATCAAAAAATAATTTATTAGAAAAGCAACAGAGTATTTTTAAATACTACATACAACTAGCAATGTTAATACACTGTAACCTGTACCATGCGATGATGCGCTATGCCTGCCTATGTATCATGATGCTGGGGCCATTCAGTCGTACTCGACGTACCGGTTTATAGGAGGCTGTAAAGGCCGCTGAAAATGTCTGAGACAGAAAGCTTTTGGACTTTTTCTTCTTTATTTTTTCTTTTTTCGTTCCCTATTTATTGGCGAGGGACACGATGATTTCGTATGATTCTTTCTTTCTATTCATGGGTTACATGTACTTCTTCCTCTTCCTCTCTGTCTTCCTTCACAGATCGGAGCACGGGGTTATCATCGGTAATCATATTACTCAGCCAGGCTCTTGAAGGTTGACCCCAATCTCCATGCAGTAACACTGAAAGGTACGGGATATGTGCATGTGTATATATATATATATATATATATATATATATATATATATATTACTTGACCAGCAACAGGCATTGATAAAAAAAAACTCGTAGAATTCAACTCCCTGCATTATGCTGCAGAAACGCCATCTCGATACGAAAGCTCAGCAGCCAACACGCTGACTTCTGCCGAGCATCATCTGTACACATACTCACTTGTATTACTCATCCATCTCGTCGAACCGGCCTTCTCGAATCGCAACCAGGGGTGATATTCTCTTGGCAACTTTTGATTATACGAGTATTATTATTATATCTGCCCAGGGCCCATGGTTCAAGAGGGTTAAGAAAAAAAAGTTGAAACCCTTCGTCTCTGGCGCCCATATCGTAGTCCGTCGTGATATGATACTACATAAGTATTATCATCACATGGACCTGTACCGATCAACACTCGGTAGACCATAGCTTCAGAGTCCCAGTGTCCCACGGACCCATCTTTTGCGTCTCGCACTCGGCGACCTACTCTCGCAATCCCCGTGCTCTTCTTTGTTTGGAGACTTTGAGACTTTGTTGGAGCATGAGCACCACTCGCGTCGTCCCGGCCCCGCATATTTCTGCTCGTTCATCCTATATATCCCATCCCGTACGTAGCAATTGCATCATCAATTGATATGCTGCGTCAGATGAAAGACTTGAAAAAAAAAGAAAAAAAGTGGGAAAGAGAACAGAAAAAAAAAAGCTGGACCACCATGTGAGGTGAGACTTCACACTGCGCCGTGCCATCTCTTGCCTCTATTGTTGGAGACTGATAATCGGCGACCAATAAATACGAGAGCCGTACATGTCCAAGGTCAAGGACGAGGCGAGGTTAGCACTGCTTGTCGACATTGTATCACCATCATCTTGGTCCTTCATCTGCCGCCGTCGTAACAAACGAGCTGACCCAGTCTTGGCCTGTTCCACGAAGGCACATCGGCCCGTCTGAACCACGTTTCTCTCCTCTCCTCCTCTCTCTCTCTCCTCCTCTCTCTCTCCCTCTCGCTCTCTCGCTCCCTCGCTCTCTCTCTCTCTCTCTCTCTCTCTCTCTCTCGTGAGCGTGGCCTTGGCTTGGGGCGTAATATTACTACGCGTACGAGTACATATAGGCTGTACTCGTACTCTGGGGGCGTCGCCACCCGAGACAACCGGCGAGGGGGCAGACAAGGCAGGCAAGGCATCCAAACTGCAAAAAAAAGGTCAGACACCTGATGAACCGTGCACGACTGAAAAACTGAAAAAAAAAAAAAAAGCACAGGGCCCTCTTCACAAATAATAGCATTCTGAATCGCATATCACAAATGATAATCATACCGTCACATTTTGGAATATTTCCTACTCTTCTTCTTCTTCGTGGCTTGTTCTTTGCCCCTTGCTGCTTTGCTGCTTGCCTGCTCACTGTCATCACAGCCTTCGACAGTCGCCGGTCGCACAATGTCGGGGGTCCGATTGACAAGTACGAGTATATGCACTCCTTATTGGCCATACGCCCTCATCAGTCTGTGACCAGAAACGGAGACACAACTCTGTCGTGCGCAGAGGTACCGTTACTCAACGCCCGTACATGTACCCTCCCGCCGTCCCGTCTCTGTTTGTGCTCTCAGCCTCTCGATGATAACTGTCGACCGACAACATCAACCCCTGATGAGCGCGTTTTGGACCGTGACCCGTGGACCGTGGCCCGTGACCCGCGGCGACAGAGCATTGGAGCAAGGAAAGGCTAGGCAGGAGCTAGCCCGCTCAGAGGGCTGTTGTTGGGTGGCATGGACTATCGACCCATCAGCCAACAATGGTTGGACCGTGTGACGCATGGGACCCAGTAAAAATATGCAAGGCACAGGATCCGGGTCAGGGGTCAGGGGTTGCTGATGGTTCCGCCCGTCCCAAGGGGGGCCGCGGCTTCTTGCGAGGCATCGCGCACTGTGTCGATGACCGTTGTCCTTCCTTCTTCCTCTTCCCTCTCGTTCCTCCTTCTTCCCTTCTCGCCTCCCAAGTATTCCATCGTGGAAAGATGGCAGTTGTGATGCTCGTGCAATGCGGCATTGACCGTGTCAATTCTTCCATTGTTTATACCGAACATGCAACCAATAGTAACCGTCGAATGGTTCCCGGATCTTGTTAGTCTTCCTGCTGCATGGTATGGTGAGAGTAAGGACGGAGGTCAGTCAACCTGCGGGCGTTCTGCGCCCACATGTCGTATGGAGCGTTATTCCGCCCCCCCCCCGTTGTTGCCTTGTGTGTGTTCAGTGTGTTCACTGTATCCATGTCGCCCTGGTGCCGATGAAAAGAGGGCAAGAAACCCCCCCATAAACACGTCATGTGGTATGCTTATCCTCCATGTCGCCACTTCCTCAAGAGATGTCAGATGTGGAGGGTTGTTAAGGGACTCAGGGTAAAGAGCACTGCATCGCGATAGCACACACACACACACGCACGCACGCACTGACATGGGATCCTCTCTCACCGTCTGTCCTTTGGCTCAAGAGTGAAGAGCCCCCCCCCCACCCTGTCCTGCCCCTTCCCCTCAGTTTAGCACATCTAAGCCACAAATATTCCGGGCCCGGTGTCGGAATCGCTCTGTATCCCATACCGGCTGGGGCAAGAGATCGGCTGAATACCTGGTAGCACTGAATTGACTCCCCCGAAAGAAAGAAAAAAGAAAAAAAAATTCGACGCGACAGACGAGAGACGTCAGAGAGGGGCCTCTGACGGTGGGTTTCGGTCGCGTGATGCAGCGTCCCGGCTAGTTGGCCCATCAATGTACAGCGTAGATACATGTCTAGTGTGTAGAATACCTTGGGTACTCTATAATAGTACAGCCATAGTATGGAGGGACCGTGTCTCACGATCGACGGCGACCAGGCCTTGGCATAGCTGAACCGACTGCTATGGAGTGCCACAGAATCTGTGCCGCTGAACTCTCTGGAGATTCCTCGGGATGCAGTCGGCCTGGCATCGCAGAATCGTGGATAGGACAAGTCTGAGAGAGAAGGGCAGGATACTAGCAGCATGGAGAAGAAGAAACAACGCTTGGAGTTTGGGCGGAGATACTCGTCTGCATCAAGTATCCGGTAGCAGACTGGGGAAGGGGATGTAACATGATCCATGGGCATCCATCCACCCAAAGTAGCGGTGGACAAACAGCCAAGTCTTAAGAATGTCGTACGCGTAGTCTGGCGTTGGCGCGAGAGAGCATGAATACCCGGGGTGGGTGGACTGATGGATGGGGATGTTGAAAAAAAAAAAAAGAAAGAAAGAAAGAGTTCATGGTGGGCAATTGTCAACTATCAATTGATGAATGCCATCTACGGGTACAGACTACGGCAATGGGGAGAAAATCCTACTGGTAGAGAGTAAAAGGCAGGTAGGTAAGGTGCCTGGGTAGTTCTTGCAAGTTGGTAAAGGGGTAGGTAGGTACGAGTACATGTAGTTGGTACTACTGTGAGTACAGATGAGTACTCGTAATGATACTACATGTAACAGTAAAGAACGGCAGGCACAACCAGACTGGACAGTGCCTTCCGAGTGTTCTCGACACAGTCTATATTATGTACTTTTTTTTTTCTGGGGCCGGCCCTTGCTCTTATGATCTCTGCCCCGCGAGTTGGCGGCCTGACGCTGCTCAATGGTACGAGTACCATCTGGAGGCCTTTTGAGGACCTTTGGGTATGGCAAGGTAAGCTGCGAGAGTACGAGCAGATAGATGGCCCCTGGCACTCGTGGGTAATGAATGGACTGATAGTTCTCTTACCCGTACCTACGGCTTACGAGATGCACTGTAGCATCGTGTATCGTGGGTACGGAGTAGTACAGATGATAATAATCCTGCCACTAATTATAGCATGGCGTAGTATTACTCCGTAGCAGGAACATTATTTACTCTCGAGTTTTAGCACGAGCTCAAGCCAAGACCAGACAACGTCAGTCGAGGGTTGAGACTCTCTTGAGAGAGAGGGTCGGTCCCCACTGGATTTTCCAAGGAGGGGCATCACGGTGACATGGTTTGATGGCCCACTGGCTATGAGTGCCCAGTGTCCTCGACCCGAGCATCTTTAGTGCCGTACGGGTCCTCGTACTCCGTACAAGCTGGAACGCATGAACCTGCAAGTGATCTGCTAGTCAACAGTAGCCCCTATCGAATATCAGCAAGGCCGCATGGTTCAATCTTTTTTCTTTTGCATAGTCTTGAGGCTGGAAGGGGCAAGATGAGACTGACGAGTACGGACGGATACAGCCTGGAGCCGGTCTGAACTTTTTTTTTAACAACAATGTCAAGCAAGGCACCTAGTTGGAGAAATCAAGGTCGTATACGTACATATATGCACAGCTAAAACACGTGAGGCTATGGCGTAAAACAGAGACGTTCTTCTCCGAAAACGGTGTGGTGGACCTGGGCGCTGGCTGTGTGGGCATACCGGATGCCAGCGCTTGAAAGGGGCAAAGAGGGGGGGGGGGGGGGGGGGGGGGGGGGGATGATCCACCATCATTGATCAGAAAACTACTACGACGTACGAGTACTTCCAGTAACCACGTACGTAAGGTGTTGATGATATGTATATTGTACGAGTAACATCCCCTACTACCTATACGAGTAAACATGTAAACAGAGCACACATACTAGTAGACGGCCGTACTGGTAAAAGATATAAAAAATCCAAAAAAAATCTACAAATTCATCATGGAATCCCAACTGTACTCTAGAGAGGGGGGACGGGGCTCACGGGGCGCGTGACTAGTCTGTGGCAACAGCCTGTAGCAGCGTGTGCCGGAGGAGTGTGGCACCCCACGGACCAGCAGTGGACCTATCATTTTCACTCTGTACCTGGCGCTACGTCGCGCCTGCATCAAGGTGGCCTGCACCAAGGTGGCCTGCACCTGCCCCAGGTACGGGAGCACGGCTGCCTTTGTACTCAGTCGTACCTGCTTATCCGCACCTGCCTCGCATACATTAACCCCTAGTAAGGTAGAGCGTCAGTGGGAAGGCTCGATGCGATGCCTGCCTGTCCTTGCCAGGTCTACGAGTGCGGATACCGAGTATGGGTGGTACCACTAGCAGTACCTGCACCACCACTCTGGCACCGTACAGGTACGGTACACCTACTCTGTACTACTCCTGCTCCTGCCGCGCGCGCCGCCGATACCGTTTGCCTACCCGTACAGTTCCTGTGGCCACTATACGGTGCTCGTACCTGACAAGTACCTGCCCGTACCTCTCTGTACCAGCCCGCCCGCTCACTGGCCGCCAGCAACCCAACGTCTTTTCCCTCGCCTCCCCCCATTCCCTCCCCTTCTCTTCCCTTTCTCGTCCAGACCCTTTTCCCCTCCCCCCAGCTGTCACGGCTGTGACTTGTCCATTCTCTTCCTTTCCCCACGTCCTTTTTCTTTCATTATTTTGTTTCCTTCAGTCACTCCCTTGAATATTATCATCTTTTTTTTTCTTTCCCTTTTCCTTACAAAGCTATCACGGTGTCCGTCACTCCTTTCGGCATCATTACATTCTTTAACAGGGCCATCCCCATCACCAGATTCGCCATCGATCGCGACACTCTTTGACCGACGACAAACTCGGAACTATATCCAGCTCGAGAAAAAGCCAACACACAACTCTTCTTTCTTGCAGACCATCAAACGTCTACGGAACGCTTTACTCTCTTCATAAACCTTTCCTCCCAAATATATTTTCCCTTGTTCCCTTTTGGCAACTCAGAAGCCTACCCGGTTCATTACCCAACTGCCTGAAACCACCCCTGAGCAATCGATATCGAGACACGATACACACCCGTCTGTCCAGAGCGATCTCACTCTTTCAAACGACAGTAACTTTCGGTACAGCACAACCGAAGAAGAAAAAACGACCGCCATGGCTACCGACCTTGACCAGTCGGTGTCTCTTGGCCATGCCGACTCGGTTGGAACGCCTCTGTCTGCCCCTGACCAGTACTCTGCCATGATGGCCGCAGCTCAGACGCCAGTCTCCGCCGCTCCCAGCAAGCAGACCCCCTCACCCGCTACCTCGAACGGAACCGGCCATATGTCAGCCTCCCAGTCGGCTTCTCGGCGACCTCCCCGCAAGAGCACCCTGACCCAGCAGCAAAAGAACCAGAAGCGCCAGCGTGCCACTCAGGAGCAGCTGGCGACGCTGGAACTCGAGTTCAACAAGAACCCTACCCCTACGGCTCTCGTTCGTGAAAGGATAGCGGATGAGATTAACATGACGGAGCGCTCTGTCCAGATCTGGTTTCAGAACAGGTGAGTGGTGTCTTGTGTATATATGTATATATATATATATGGAGCATTACCCCTTTACTCTTTCACGAGTGCACACTAACATGTCATGAAAAGGCGTGCCAAGATTAAGAACCTGGCCAAGAAGAGCCTCGAGACGGGAGAAGACATTGACTCGATCCCTGAGTCGATGAGGGCGTACCTGGCCATGCAGGCAATGGAATCAGGGAAGGGCATTGGTGGCAGCTACTTTGGCCGAACTGGGCTGTCGCCCTTTGGTCACAGTGGTATGCTCCTCGGCGACCCTAACGCGAAAGTTTGTAAGTTTTGACGCGACACCCACTAGGAAAGCATGCCGGCAAGTTCCCCTTCTCTGACTAGCTTCGTGTAGTGATCAACCACCTCACCTGTCGGTCTCTGAGCATCGGCGAGTGGACGCGTGTTGGGCAGAACGCCATGGACCTGGTTGTCTTTTACTCTCCTGATAAGGGAACCATCACCTACTACATTAACAACGAACAGGCCGGATACAAGATAGAATACCCCTTTGCCTACGTCAAGAACATCTACCTGGACAATAATGAGAACGACCCCAACAAGATGGGTGGCATCGTCATCGAGCTCGCCAGGCCGCCTCACTTCCTCATGGACTGCTCCAACGGCGCTGGTTTTTCTCAGGTCGGCGACTTTACCCAGGACCAACAGGCCAGTCACTGCCTGGTGCACCACCTGGGCGGTAACCCCAAGGTGCTGAGCGGCCAACTTGCCAAGCTGGTCTCGCTCGACACCTTCATGAACCGCCACAACCCTGCTGCCATTGCGCCGCCTCATCCCTTCCCCGAGCCTCACGGTGCCCCCATGTCGGCGCCTGTCTCGCCCACGGCCCGTCCGTCATCGCAGCCCAACTTCCACCAGCCTCCCATGCCCCTGTTCCAGGAGCCTTGGGGCGTGCATCAGATGCACTCGGGCATGGGCCCGCCACAGGGTCACAAGCGGCAGCGTAGCCGCTCGGTTCCCGGACCCGTAGACTTTGCCATGTTCCAGAACCAGCCTATGCCCTCGTTTTACATTCAGCCTCCCGGCGAGATGGGACTACCCCATACCCCGAACATCTATGCCCCTGTTCCTCAGCAGCCGCCCCAGGTGAACGCCAACCTGCGCATCGACACGCAGGCTGGATTCAGCCTCGATATGCGTCAGTACCCGATGTCGGCCACCACTGCATCGCCCTCGGAGTTCCCTGGCAGCCCCGGCTTCTTCCCCCCTCATGCTCAGGAGGCCACGTCGGTTCCCACCACCAGCTACGGCGTGACCCCTTACAACCAGGGTTACCTGTCACCGATGCCCGGAGCCGATGCTACTTCGCTGCCTACTGCGACGATGTCGTTCCACACGCCGCCGGAGCCGTCTATTGTTGAGCAGTCGCCACCGATGGGCATGATGGGCCGTCCTGGGTCCACCGAGGTGTACAACCCCAACGATGGCTCGTGTGCCGTATCTGACGATGGCGCCAGCCTCAACGAGATGTACTCGAAGCACACGCTGACGCTGCCGATGCATTCGCATTCCCCCGCGTTTGTCCACTCGCAGCAGGCCGAGCTTGACATGGACCAGCTTGTGTCGTTCGACCCCGCCAGCATGTCCCCCGAGGCTGTGCATGCAACGACGCAGTAAGGTGTTGCAGAATGCTCATCTGTCCATTTCTTGGCGGATGCTGCTGGAGAAGGGCTGGCATCCAGCAAGAGAATTATCACGAATGCACCGGGAGGGCGTTTTTATCATTTTTATTTAATCCGGAACTTATTCTTTTGTTATACCACTCGGCGTTGATTTGTGGACTTCTTATTTCGGACATTCGATAATTGCTTATTCTCTCTTGTCTGGGTTTGCCCCCATATCCCTCTTATCCACTGTCTCGAGTCGTTTGGCCGATGTGGGCTTTTTGGCCCTCCTCACCCGCCTCTGTTTGCTTTTTTTTCCCCAGCACGCAAAAAGGGCGACCAGAAAAAGCCGCCTGATATGGCGGCCATGATGAATTCTGCATGACGATGCCCTTCTTTAGTCTCGGTCATGCATGTCCGGCACAGCGATCGTGTTTTTATCTTTTTATCTTTTTTTTTTTTTTTTACAACCCCTCATTCGATTTCTGACAAGCATCACAGCACAATGCAATGTCTGATCGAAGAGGCTACTATTTTAGGTGGTCTGTTTCCTTATCTGCTCTCTCACATCTGTTGTTTTCTTTGGTTCTCGTTTCCTTTTTACTCGCCTCACTGCGTGTCCCCCTCCCCTCTCAATGCTTGTCTTTCCTATTGTTTGATCATTGGAAATGTCATCCTCTACCCTCCCCCGGCTCGGCGACTGACCACCTCGCTGGTGTTGGGGACTTAATAATTTCATATCTGCTATTTTCTGGGATACAACATGTCAAGCTTTTTAGGGGATTAATATCTTTTTTTTTGTGGCCGCCTTTTTCATCATCTCATATCATCTCTTTTGGTTTTTCTTGTCGATTGGTTTGGAAGGAATTGGATGGCTACGAAGAGCCCCGGAGGCTTTCTCGTCAAGACAAAAAAAATCCACAAAAAATAAAAAAGTTAAAAGGATATCATTGGTTTCTTTTGTTGATTTTTTGTTGTGGAGGGACAGTGTCTTTTGTGGTCTCTTTGGTGCCCCGGAGGAAGAAGGGGAAGAAGGAAAAAAAAAGCAAAGGTAGGTAGGTGTGCTATGATCATACGGTCTGTGTAGTTGATTGAAATACCATATTAATATTACTGACTACAGTCAGTGTAGAGCAGCAGACAATGAATACGTTGAAGGTGAGAAAGATGAGAGTTTCTCGACAAAATAGAGCTGAGCGGTGTTGACTGTTGTGCATACGAGTAAGATGTGAGTATCAGGTAGTGTGGCATTGTTCAAGTAGTAAGAGAGGCACAGCCATTGCGGACGACAGAGAGCACTGGTCATACGGGGGTTGTACGGACAATGGTGTTGTGCTGCGTGCAAAAGTGCGAGGAAGGGTGTGATGTATGCGGTAGGAGGAAGGGAAGGGAAGGGGAGGAGGGGTTTGAGAGAGGAGAGAGTGAGAGTGGAGTGAAAGGGCTGACTGAGTCTACCTGAGATGCCACATGGCTTCTCGTCAGCATTGTACATTGCACATGTACAAGCACGGAGTATCGATACTAGGTACAAGTACAGATACACAGATACTGGCAGTCTATGACTATTCTATCAGCGACGTGGCCCGTGAAACTATCGTATAGGTACGGAGTACGGAGCTGATACAAGGATAGATCTGCAGTGATGTTTATTATTCGCAGGCAGAGCGAGAGAGAGAAGAGAGGGAGAAGAGAAGAAAGAGGGAGGAGAGAGAGAGAGAGAGAGAGAGATATTAGCGGGTCTGGTAAGGTCCTTGGGTCTGGTCCCCCCCCCCCCCCGGTCTGGGTCTGTGGGGTGTCATCGGGGCGTCGGAAAGTTCGGAGTGGACCGGAGGTTCTGTGCGGGAGGTTTTGACAGAAGGGAAAACCTCCCGCACACTACTACTGATCTGTGCTCCGTACAGCAGACAACAGTAGGTAGGTAATATCGCAGGGCATCGCAGGTGTCGATACTCGGTAGAGATGACAGAGTTGATATAGTAAGAAGAAAAAAAAAGGAGGGGGAAAAAAGAGGTCAGGTACCTGCACGCAATACCATGATGATTCTGAAGAAACAGGATCATAGAAAAGATTCAGGGCCAACTGGCAGAACAATACGCTTTGGTTGTATGATGGATATAGGCCAAGACCAATCTGTACAAAGAGTATAAATAAACCCATATACTATTTCTACCTGGTGGTCCTGTGATGACTCTATTGATCTGTACAGATTATCCGTACTGCGAGGTCAGATATGATGGATGACGACCAATCACGCATTGTCCGGAGTGAGCATCAGCTCTGTGTAATCAGTATTGCTCCGGATCTCGTTGCTTCGACCTGTCAGACCCCCCCTCCCCCCCCTCGTGTACGACGAGTACTGAGTATTACTCACTCGTACTCGCACAGCTCTGGGAGCTCGGACTTGGGGGGTCCTTGGCCTTGATGATCCCTTCCTTGGCTGGTTTCGGCCTCTCAAGGTCAGGATTGGGTGGATACGGCTAAGGAGCAAGGAGTATTAGCTGACATGACCGCACGCACCTATTTCCCTCTCTCTCACCCTCACCCTTGCGGTTAGTTTGATAGTCGTAGCCTCTCGTACAGAGACGTATGATGTGACTTGTGAGCAGCTGCAAGATATCAACTTGCCGTTTCGGTATATATAGAGAGAGTAGGTATATATATATATATATAGAGAGAGAGAGAGAGAGAGAGAGAGAGGGAGGGAGAGAGTACGGTAATATTCGTCATTGTATTGATATCATCATCATCATCATCATCATCATCATCATCATCATCATCATCATATGGAGGGTGTAAAATGACTATTCGTGCATGTACGAGCAGAGTACGTAAACCAGTTCAACTTTGTTCGTAATACGCCTGCGCCGTGGATGCCATCATTCGACGGTATCAGTACAAGATGTACATGTGCGGTCCGCAGATTTTTGTATATGGATACATGTACATGCACTACAATGCACTCACATGCATTTACATGCACTATCCTCCTATTTCTCATGTACACAATACTCCGCACAATACGGAGTATAGAGATCTGTACTCCGTATACTTTCATATTATACTGCTCACGGTATTTACCACTAGTAGACTCTCGGAGTCTTGGCCTCCAAGTTCTCCAAATGCAATCCCCGTAGCTTCCGTTACTCTTCCCCCCCCCAATCTGGATGCTGAATCCTGTCCTCTGTCGACTCCATCGTCACCTGCGCGTCTCCGTAAACAATTTTTCTTCTTGTTT